AAATGGCAGTCAACTACCTCAAAAGAGTGTGTTACTGCTAGAATGATGATTATTAACAGTCCAGTTTTTTCCAAGATATTTACACCTTGACTGAGACTTTATTACATTTTAGATCTTTAAAAGTTGAGCGATAGTTTTAATTAAACACGTATTACTACATCATGAAGAACAAGGGTAACTTTGTAGAGAAAACACTACACCACGGAGTTGTGTACGAGTATGTACTCATATTTTATGTACCGGGTTTTCTGAACTCTGACTAGGCTAGTAACCAACTGTTTGCAGGTTGACACCAGTTGGAATCAGCAGTGTTATCTGTGGGAAGATTCTATCAGTGGCAGACCTAAGTTTAGTGGTACAGCAGCTGGGCTGGTTTATTTTCACAGTGGCCCTGGGCGTCTTCATATACCAGCTGGCGATAATGCAATTCATATATTACATCGTTGTGCGCCGCAATCCATACAAGTATTACTTTGGATTGGTTCAGGCAACTCTCACGGCATTTGCTACAGCATCAACGTGAGTACCTCAAGTGCCGACCTCAACCCCAACCACCATCACGTCGTTGTCCCCTGCCACTTCCAACCCACACATCAACAAATTATTTGAAATTATCTTGTGATATTAAAAAAAAAATGCTTTTTGCTGGTCTCCTGTTGGCAGTGTATTTTGGCAGTTCTGGCTGTCATGAAGTAAACCTGGATACAAGAACTGACAATAGGACTGTGAGGGTGGAGATGCAGGTTTTCTCAAAGTCTCCCCTAACATGGTGGCTCCAGCCAAAATACTGTATCAGGGAAAGATAAGTTCTGCTCATGAAATTATAGAGCATAATGTTCTCCAAAATCTCGTCACAAGTAACACGAAATTGCCAACAGCTGTGAGATAAACTGCCATTGATATCTAATAAGTTTTCAAACAGCTGCCTCATGTGATTGCCATGATATTATTATCTATTGTTGGTAATTAAAATAAAACATTGAGGTATTATCTTAATGGAATAGCACTCATACTACATTTCACCTAAATCGGCCGACTGGTTCGAGTACTGAATTTGTGGGAGGCGAGCACAGACACACATACATACACACTATGATACTCTCATAAGCTTACTTATTTCTAGAAGAAAAGTAGGCTAAAATTGAAATCAATGACAAAGGAAGAGCAAATCTACACTATACTTTGAATAAAATATCTTACATTTCTCATTTTAAGCAAATTTAAAGTTGCTGATTAATTTATAAAAATAACTGGTGGATGAGTGAATAGTTAATATTAATGAAACTGAAGATCTGATTTAGCATGGTGATCTAAATTTTAATGGAGTTCATCAGAATGAATAAGCTCAGTAAAAGAACCACTATTAGTGAACAATGATCATTTCAGTCAAAGTTACTGCCCAGACTAGGACACGTACAATAAATCAATGTCACTCCGTAGTTTAAATTAAAGTTGAAATGAGACAGAATGAATTTAATGGTTTCACATCATACTTTATAGTCAACCATAGAACTAATAAATGGACCTGTCTGATTTTTAAGAATGTGTTATGTATTTTGATGACAGAGCTGCAGCCCTTCCAATCACGTTCCGCTGTATGGATGAGAAAGTGCACATAGATCCACGCATATCACGCTTCATCCTACCAATTGGCTGTACCATCAACATGAATGGCACAGCCATGTTTGTTGCTGTTGCCTCTTTCTTTATAGCACAGATGAATGAACTGCAGCTGAGTCTGGGAGAAATCATTACAGTCTGGTAAGTTGAATGTTGTGTGGTACTGTCATCTTAAATATCAAATACTGCACTGATTGTCTTGAAATAACACAAACATGTTCTTGGAGAAATATGAAATATGTCATTTTCATCATTTACAAGAGTACTTTAATGCTCTTTTGGTCATGATACATTATTTAGCATCTGGTTTAATGCACAGCCGAGAGCAAAAACAAAAGTGTATTCTGGTTAAGATTAAAAAGATTCACCTATGGAATGTGAAGCAGAGCAAACAACATTGTCATCATCTGCCTTCAATTTGCTAAATTCTCAATTCAAATCAATTCATTTCAATTCAATTCAATTCAATTCTTCATTATATGTATTCAGTATATGTGTCGGGTAAACAGCTACAAGGCCCATTACAGACACAGCCAGTGTATATACAAGTAAATACATTTTGTTCACGGTCTTAATTTTTTCTAATGTTATATTTTAGCGTCCTGTTGCACTGATTTAAGTCCATGATTTATTTAATCCGTCTTGCAGTGCATACACTCATTTATCTCCTTCTCTCCCTTGCACTACACACACATATCCAGGAAGCCCAACAGTGTAACACACGCAGTCGCAGAAGCACGACACAACAAAAGCACAACACACAAGATAATGAAGGAGTGCTCCAACAAAGGAGAATGGGCGTGACTGACGTAGTGAGGGGTGACGTAGCGATGTGGTATCCTGAACAATTTTAATATTTTTAACGTTTGACAATGTATATGATAGATACATATTTTAGTTATTTTAATGTGTGAACATGGCATGCAATGAACTGGTTTGACGTGGATAAGTAAGCACCTGAAGATGGCATTATTATGCCGAAACATGTAGTGCGAGGGAGAGAAGGAGATAAATGAGTGTATGCACTGCAAGACGGATTAAATAAATCATGGACTTAATTTTTTCAGTAAATAATACCAAGTTCTGTAAAAGTATGATGTTGTCTATAGCCAGAATTCTGCTTAATTGTGTGCTTTCAGAAAAAATCTGCATTAACTTTGTGTATGGGGAATCGGGTGTGGCGTTTATCTGAATATGCAAGTTGCAAGAGAAACTCTTAGAGAAACACAACACAAAGTCTAAACTTCAAGCTTTTGCTTTAGGTCTTGTGCTGGGTCTTCCTAAGTGATACAGCAGATCGGTGGGTGACAGATTTCATATACATGATCACAAATTCAGCTAGTCTCTACTCTAGTGGCACCTGCATGAGGACAATGAGTAAAGCTGCTAGTGATGGTTGTGAGAACTATTGTGTGGTGGGTAAACAAATGTGCATAAGAAAATTATTTTTGAGTAATTATATGAAAATGTTACATTTTCTTTGAAAACTTGCGGTTGGATGAATGTTCCAGTTGCTTGGATACTGGATAACTGTGAGTTTACTCTGGGATTTTGTATTACATATTTAAAGGGATATAGATGTGGATAAGAGGATTTTGTTATTGCTCCACTAATTTTGAAACAAATTTAAGGAGGAATTTTAATTATGCTTCTAAATTTTTAGTTTATGTGTGTGTTTTGCAATGTTCTGCAAAACCTGACCTAACAATACTGACTCATAAGCTTACTTCAAAAGATTACCAATCGAAATGTTGATGGTTATTTAGAATAGCCTCTTTCATTTCCATTCCTCCAAAATCACCATCAGTAAATAATTCTGCCATTATTATGATGCATACCTTTTTGTTTCTCTGTTTGTTTGCTTGTTTGTTTTTAGTAAGGAATGAATGTTTTCTGCCTGTACAGTTTAGCATCAACAGTGGCAAGTTTTTCATCTGCTAGTGTCCCAAGTGCAGCCCTTGTACTAATCTTTATGGTGTTATCAACGATAGATGCACCAATGGAAGATGTCTCTCTCCTATTTGCAATCGACTGGTTTGTGTGAGTATCAGCCCTATTTGTATTAATCTTTGGGACTCTAGTGGGAGCATAAAGTACAGACAAGTATCTTTTACCAAAATCAATGCTGCATCAAAAGTATACAGTTCTATTACACAATACAATCTGAAGAGTCAATATATTTTTGGAGTTAAGAATGCTTATGCTCACTGTGATGTACAAACTAGAAAATAACAAATGTAAATAGAATCCCTCTGAAAATTCAGGCTCTAGTGAGGACAATTCCATACATACATGCATTCATTTATTCATTTTTATTTTATCCTCTAGATCAAAGTACATTGATATAGGGCATGATCATATACACATATACTAGAGAGAGACAGCTTTCCAGAAACCAATTTTTTGGATTTAGGGGTACTGAAAACTTGTACTTCCAACAAAATCTTGAGATTGATTTCTTTCTCCATCATGATACTTTATCATAATTATATATGATAAAATTAAATTGACAAACAAAAAGTTCCATGCCAACAGAACAATTAATATTTGCTTATGAGTTGCAGACTAAATGGGATGCGTGGTCACATTGGCTTTCTACAGAAATATTTTCCCTTTCATTTTTTAAGAATACATACTCAGTTTTCTTGTTTAAGTAATTTGCATCCCAGTTCATTATTTCATGTGTTTGTTCTCTTAAAAAGGTTCTGACACACTCTCAGAAGGAGTGGTGCCACCTAATGTTGTAATCACAATCTCATGGAGTGTAAAATGTACTTGAATGCAATGATATATCTCATCTGAGAGCTTTTAATATATTTGTAATGTGCCTGTATTCAGATTGTTTTTCTTATAAAAAAAGTAAAGTAAAGCTATCCCTGTACCAGGCCATGAAGGCCCATAGGGTTTTGAGACGTTGAGGGTCCCACATTATCTAGACAATCGGCTCAAAGATGGCGTTAAGGTTGTCACCCTTACGTACCGACCGCGCTTTACTCCACAGGAAAATTGTTTAATTAATTTCTGGTACTCATTTCTGTTAGAGGCTGAGTGAACCCCAGGGCCATAGTGAGGCTAGAAGGATTAGGTCAATTGAAAAAAATCCAATGATCTCATTGGGACTTGAACCCACGACCTTCCAGCTTGTAGCATAGCCCCTCAACCAACTACGCTACTGAGTGCCCCCTTCTTTTTCTTATAGTACCACTATAGTATGACATCAATATTTCTGTATGTGTAGAAGTTTCTTGAATCCATTACTGAATAAAATTAACTTGAGTTCATTTGTTGATGGTTTTATAGTCACTTCAAATGCACTGGTTCTTTTACAATTACTTGAATAGTAAAACTGAAATCAATTTTTAATTAAACTTGGAGGTAATTCCACATAAATCTTGTAGTGGTACTGCCTTTTATCATAATCATTTTAGTTTGGCCATCATAACTAAGTGTTCCTACAGGTAGTATAATGATGCATTCAGTGTTGAGACTATTCAGCACTGGATGATTTATGAATGACAAATTGTAAAGGATTTGGAAGGAAGTAGTCATAGCCTAATCACAGTACTGTCCTGGCCTGGAAAGACTGAAGGAAACCACGAAAACCATAGCCAGAATAGCCAGCGGCCCAGATGACATTTGAACCAAGCACCATACAAATAGAAGTCTAGTGCATTACCTCTGTACCAGGCTATTCAGAATCATATCTAAGTAATATATATGTAGATATATAAGTAACAGTCTTCTTCATGATATATTTTCCTTCACGTCCCTATTTAATATATCCCTCTCTGGTTTCAATATTTCCTTGTATGTTTTGTTTTTGAATAGTTACAGTTCACTCTTTCTCTCCCCTTCTGTATTGAGGAAAAAGGAAATATAAAACTGTTTAAATAATTAATTCTTTTGTTCGCTTTTCCACAGGGATAGAATTCGAACCACCAACAACATGCTGGGTGACTGCTATGCAGCAGCCATCGTGGAACACTTGTCAAAAGAGCAGCTGATAGCTGTAGATGCGGCTATATATGAGGTTAGAACAAAAATGAACTTCCAGAAATTTATCTGTTTCACACATACCAAGAAATTTACAACAAACAATAAGTTTTCATTATTGGGTCTACAGTATTGACAACTGTTGTTACCAAACATCACAGTTGAGTAGTTAACATTTTTGCTATCTCTTTAGGAGATACTAAGCAAGTTGGGTCAGTCAGTAATACGTCTGACTAAACCTTGCCATAGCCCAGGCAGTTAGTTGCCGTCTGCTTACCTTGACAGCCTGGATTCAATCATGTATTATTTCATGTGGGATTTGTGATACACAATGTGGAACTTGGGTGCAGGTTTTCTGCAGGCACTTCAGTTTCCTTGTCTATTCTCATTTCTATAAATGCTCCGTTTCTTTAATCTGTCATTCATGACTGGTACAGTAGTGCATTTGTGGTCTTAGTACTAAGGCAGGGTCTCACCCCACCCCCAGACTAAAAATAATGATACTCTTGACTAATATGTGAGAGGCTTTCGGCTTGTCTCTTGGCCAAGGCATTAACTTTCTTAAGATTCTTTGTGGTTGTTGCCAGTCCTACTGGAAAAATTGCAGGTTAGTGACTCAAATTACAACTACTTCCTTCCATGTCTTTAGAGTTCATTATTGATCTGTCATCTTACAAATTGATGTTATATAGTGAAAGCCATTATAAATGATGTAAAATTAAATATAAATATAAATATTAGGAAGGTCTCAGATTCAAAATCTTGCCTTAAGACCAGGTATCATGACCAGTGATTTTTACGGTTTTCTTTAATCTCTACAGGCATATTCTAGAATATGCTTTAACTAGGACATGTCTGCTTCCTCTAATTTCTTTCCAATTCGTTATTCATGAATCATTCCATGATTTGTTACTGTTTGATCTTAGCAGTTGAAAGTGTCATTTGATATATCAAAAATAACAAATTGTTATATTTTTATCCATTCCTACAGTTAATGCGATAGAACATAATGAAATGGAATGTTCCCTGACTAGCTTAATGTACCAAAATATGGTGAATAAAAATAATTTGTACTAAGATATAGTTTAGTCATATGGAACAGCTCAGGTTTAAGGTATCTGTTTTCATTTTATTCCTAAGTATCCATGACTGTTTTATTTAATAGCTAACTCTCTGACAAGAGAATAAAAATTTGATAGTGATGATTCAAAAGGACAATGTTTTCATGAGCTAATTCAATCTGGTTCACATCCATAGAGTCTTATTTTTCAAGATGTGTGTTAATATTATCTCCCACCTTTTATTTATCTTCCAAATGACTACTTTCCCAGACATTTCTTTCATGAGCCTGATATGTATTTATTGTATTGGTGTTTGTAAGTATTTAAATTCTGATATATTTTCTAATTATTTATAAGCTGTAATTATATTATGATTTCATTAAAGACTTGGGTTTTGTAATATATTCACACGTATAGTTCCTTTTCATCTCCAGACTATCTGTTATTGGCCTGTAAAATCGTTTCAGTATTTTCCTTTATGTTATTTTTGTCTTTCCCCAAGGAATTAATATTATCAGAGTACACAAATGCATGGAATAGCTCAATCAATTTTAATCCTTTCTGACTGTCTTGAGATTTTCTGATTGAAAAAATTTGGACTAAGGTATTGTTTTACAGGAAGAACAAATGGCAGCATCAAGTAGACACATCCCACCAGTGTACAACAATGCTTCCAGTGAGCACTCAGTACCACAGGCTGTAGCTGTGGAAATGCAGTCATCTGTACTAACAAGTGGTACTCAGAAGAAACAGGAAAATATATTAATGTCAACTTACTAATTTATATCAAGTATTTTCTGCAGACAATCAAAACAACTTCATATTGTAGTCTTCTGGGTTATGACACTGTTTCATTTCATTTCATTTCGATTATTTACATGCCAGAAATCCATTACAAAGTCATAGGATCCAGGATGAAGACAATTGCTTGTGTATCCTGATAGGCAGTTACCAGTGTTTCAGATGAACTTACTGTAACTGACTTTTCTCAGATGTGTGTTGCTCCTTTCAAGGCTTTTCTTTTGTCTTCATTTACCTGCTGTCTCCTTTGTTATGTATATAATTGATAATTGATGCACCTATTTCTGATGCTAGTGTAGTTCACTCTATTCAGAGAATGTTGCATGCCATACAACAAATTGTATGTGAAAGCGTTTGGAGATGGGTAGAAATATTGAAACACCGTTATGTTTGTTAGTGTCTGAAATATTGTTGTCACAAAGAATATTATTCACTATACAGTTACTGAATATAATGTTACTATGATGAATAGTTAGATAGTTCTGTAGCATTTTATAATGTTTGTTCTTCTGTCTTCAGTACTATTTTAATATATCCCAACTTTCTGTCCCATCTGCAATTTTCCTTAGCACTACTCTCAATTTATGTACTATAGTTAGTCAAAGTTGCTTGTCTGACACTACAATCCAGTTGAGCTGTGCCCAACTCATTGTATTGTCTATTCTGGAACAACTTGTGGCCTTTCCATGCACCCTGTTCTTCCTACAAATTTCTCTTTTACTCACCCCACTCTGTTCTATTCTCTGGCTCTTAACTGTGTACATCCTGGGCTGGCATTCAGGATTCAGATCTTTGGCTGGTTGTTACTCTACACATGGAGAAAGGTCCCTGGGGTCAGCTACACAGGGATTGGTTGTTGGAGACAGGAAGTGTTTCTTTTCTAAATTCAGATTTGGTTTGTTTATACAAAATTTTCTTTTGGCCATACTCATCTCTGCACGTTCCACTAGGTTGGTTTTATTAAATTCTTTAGCCTTTTTTCATGGATCTATTCCCTCCACATTGATTATTTGTAATTGTGTTATTGGTATTGGCTGTTCTCTCTCTGACTCTCCTTCTGCAATCTGCTGCAGTGTTTGTAAAAATCAACGCCAAAGCCAGTGGAAAGCTTACAGAAATATCAGGACCTACTCTCTATTCATTGTGGCCTCTCTTAATTTTGTATTATTTTTATTGTTTATTTATTACATGCCATTTGGGCACTATTTTCAATGTGCCACTGTTGTTATTGTTGTTATTATTATCATTATTTCCTCCTTCCCTAAAACCCTTCCCTAAAATTCTGAGATGATCTCAAATCCTGGGATGACCTCAAGGAGCATTTAAAGGGAATCCAGGGGATGGTACTGAGCCCTCTCTGCGTTTTCATTTTGGTTTACCATCGCCCTTGAAGACATGAAACCCCCTTGTTAAACCTAGAGTACCTTACTGTTTACAATTATTTTTGAGAATTAATTTTTGTATTACTGTACTGGCATGAGGTGGAACTACACATGTGCCACACAATTTCCCAGTCCACGATCCTTCCCAAGGCTGATGAACAGACCATCGATAGGATATTTTAAATATTTGAGTACCACTCTGTGAAAGCAAAAAGTAAAAAAGTAAAGCTATCCCTGTAACAGGCCGTGAAGGCCCATAGAGTTGTGAGACGTTGAGGACCCCACATTATCTAGACAATAGGCTCAAAGATGGTGGTAAGGTTGTCAGCCTTACACACCAGCCTAGCTTTACTCCCCAGGATAATTATTTAATTAATTCCTGGTACTCTTTTCTGTTAGAAGTTGATTTGATCCCAGGGCCATTGTGCAGTGGGAGGGATTAGGTTAATTGAAAAAAATCCAATGACCTCACCGGGACTTGAACCCGTGACCTTCTGGCTTGTAGCATAGTGCCTCAACCAACTATGCTACCGCGTGCCCCCGAGTACCACTCTGTTAGAAATGTAAATTAAATTTCAATATCTTATTGGCTGTGGTCTCAACAGTGAAGTCTGCTGGAACAGTTTGTAGAGTGAGGATTATACTTTACCATAGTCATCAAATAATATGCTTGACCTCCCCTCTAGCTGTTCAATTGTTGAACTCAGAATGTCTAGTTACAACAGTGTCTTAACCTTCAGGATAGAAGGGGGAAGCAGTATGTTCATAACCGCTTAATGAACTACACAGTTTCATCAACCAGAAGATAACAATATGAATCTTCTGTGCTCTGTAAACCTAAAATCTCATACACAGAATAACTGTATCTTAAAAAAAAACAAATGACCAATGGATGTTTTCATGTAAGGTGCCATTAATTGTAATAACTGAAATCAGTATTTAGTTCTAAATACAAAATTGCTGTTAGGAAACGATGTTTAAATGTTCAATTACAAACATAAGAAACATTCAGAATATATTTCACACATTAAAATATGCGTAGAAATAATTTCAAATATATTTTGCTCAGTAACACCAGGATGTGAATGTGGATTATGGAAGTGGTTATGGCTTGTTTCAAAATGCCATTCAAAAAAGATAAATGTTACATATTAACAATCAGCCAAAGTAAGTAATTAACACCACATCACTTATAGGGGTTTAGTAGTTGATGGTGTGAAACCCAGTAAATACTAATAGACTAAATGGCAGGGTTTATTCAGAGCAAGAGGATTTGGATTTTTCCTTTTATAATAATGCTCTATTCCAAAGAAGACTATATTTTTCATGGTGACCAGAGGAATAAAAATAATAGTTTTAATATTGTGGGGAGACTGTGTGTCTCTTTCAGAAGTGTGAATTGTGTTGTAATATACAAGTATATATATGTGTGTGTCAACTAATGTATATCAATCATTGCACCATTTTATGATGATGGAGGTGAAGATAATCTCTGGATAATTACATTTTACTCCACATTGAAGAGGTTGATCAATAAAAACTTCACTGATTGTTCTATTCTGCAAAATAGGAGTAATGTGACAAGCTGCTTCACTTCAGGAACAGGAAAGGAAAAAAGCGCCTGTGTTTAACTCCTTTTGATCCTTGGATATACAGGGGGTCCAAAAAAATGCATTCACTCTTTGATAGTCAATATCTTTGGAATAAAATGACATGTAGTTACAATTCTTGCACAGTAGTGTAGTGTAATGTGGGGTAAGCCAATCAAGTGTACGGCAAATTCTGAGGGCTGCAAAGTGGACAGTGTACATTCCAAGACTGCTTCATGCTATGAACAAGGACGATCCGGGTCGAAAGCTTGAATACGGAGAGTGGTTTGAAGGCATGGTTTGCGAGGATGAGGAGTTTGTAAGGAAAGTTGTCTGGTCTGACAAGGCACAATTCAAAACGAACGGTACTGTTAACTGCCACAATTGTGTGTATTGGGCTCCTGTAAATCCACACGTTCACATGGGCAAGGAAATGAATCTACCAGGTGTTAAAGCGTGGTGTGGTCTGTCATCGCATCCTTTCTTCACGTGTATCTCGATATGCTTCAGACATCGATTTTCTCTGCCATTTGAGAGCTGTTAGGAGATGAGAGATTTTACCTACAACAAGATGGTGCTCCACCTCACTACCATCGAGATGTCAGGGCGTACTTGGATGACACTCTACCTGGACGATGGATAGATTGAAGAGGTGTTATTGAGTACCCACCACGGTCTCCAGACCTAACACCTCTCGACTTCTACCTATGGGTAACCTTGAAGGATGAAGTTTATTGACAGAAGTCAGCTACATTGAACACGCTACGAGAAACCATCAAAGCATCGTGTGCAGCCATCACACCGGACACACTGATAGCCATAGTTCGCTCAGCAGTTTGGCAGCATCGATGCTGTTTAGCTGCTGATGGTGGTCACTTCGAACACATACAATGACTCTCTCTCTCTCTCTCTGCACAAGAATTGTAACTACATGTCATTTTGTTCCAAAAATATTGACTATCAAAGAGTGAGTACATTTTTTTGGACCCCTCTGTATAACTCATGTGTTCTGCTGATGTAAGAGAGTACACTTTTTATCATGGACTTGCATCATTATGTGGGTGATTTCCATTTAAATCTTTGTTGTTAGTATTGTGGCATATAGATCCATTGCTAGGCAATGTCTGTGAAACAAACGAGACAAAGCCATTGCTATGATACATCTTCATAAATATGCAACAGTATTGGTGCAGTCGCTAAGCAGTGGCCTGCATGCAACAACAGAAGTACAGTTGGAACCTGTGTTTTCTGTGTGGTCTGCTATGAAACTATATCACTCTAAAACAAGTAATACATATCTTCGGGGGTATCAGACAACATTTTTTTTGATATGATGATACTTTATTTGGAAAAATCTGATGTGACAAAATTAAAATGTCTGTGGCCTCAAAAGACTGTTGGTTAGTTGGTTATTTTTACAACACTGCATAAACCACTGCAATTAGGGAGCAGAAAATGAGAAATGGCTGCAAGTTTATAAATTGAAAATTATTGAAGGAAGTGATCAGGACATATTTTAAGTTGAAGGACAGTCATATAAGCCTTGAATGGTTCTACCCTCAGGAATATAACACCGTGTAGTCTAGTGAAAGTTAACCAATGTTTTGGAGGAACTTGTAGTCTCCATCTTCAAGGTCGAAGAGTAAGCCAGTCAGGAAGCAGGCTGCAAGTTGTTAACGTTCACCAGTATTATTTGAAAAAATTGTTTGTGTAATGAATATTTAATAATATACAAGGGAAAATAATTTCTGATTCTATGCAGTTCGGTATTTGTAGTGGCATTAGTTTTGCAAAGGTTGGTTTATATCTCCATTAAATGAATTTGAGGGCCAGTGAGGTATATAAAATTGAAGAGAACAATAATTTAAACAAGGTCAAAGTTTTATATTTATAGTTCCCATTCTGAGAAAGTAATTAAAATTCTGTAGACCTTGAATGTTGAAATAAAATTTAAAATCTACACCATCATACCCTGTATCTTAAAAGAGTACGTAATTATTAAAATTAATTCCATAATTTTATTAAACTGAGAGTTTCTGCAAAATACATCCAGAGTGAATACAACTGAGGATCAAGAGAATGAATCCACTTATTTTATGGCGTCACTAATCCATGATGGAAGCCTAGGGTTTCCAGCATTGCTAAAGTCAAAACAGTGGTAAAGGCACAGAGAAAAATTATGTGTACCCCATTCTAATTGCAGACTGAATTAAAGGTTGCTCAGATAAAAGTTCAGTGATATTGTTAGACCGCCAAGCCCTCTTCCACACCGAATTCAAATATTCTTCATTAGTCCATGATTTATTTAAACCGTCTTGCAGTGCATACACTCATCTATCTCCTTCTCTCACTACATGTTTCGGCATAAAAATGCCATCTTCAGGTGCTTACTCAATCCACGCCAAACTAGTTCATTGCATGCCTTGTCCTCACATTAAAATAACTAAAATATATATCTATCATATACATTGACAAATGTCAAACGTTAAAAATATTAAAATTGTTCAGGATTCCTCATCGCTACGTCGCATCTCACTACGCCAGTCACGCCCATCCTCCTCTGTTGGAGCACTCCTTCACTATCGTGTGTGTGTTGTGCTTTTGTTGTGTCTTGCTCCTGTGACTGCGTGTGTTATACTCACTGTGTATACACTGTGTGTATTCTGACGAATACTGTCAAATCTATATTTATACCCATGTAAAACTTACGAAGGTCTGACCTAATTAATTGATTTTTCCACATCTTGTACACTTTTTATTTTAAGAAAATCTGTTGAAGACTGCTTACAGTCAAAACACATAATGCCCATTTAGAAATAAAGAACACATTAAAAAGTGAAAGTAAGTAAAGCTATCCCTGTAACAGTTCGTGGAGACCCATAGGGTTGTGAGATGTTGAGGTTCCCACATTTTCTAGACAATCGGCTATAGATGGCGGTAAGTTTGTCATTTCTGTTACAGGCTGAGTCAACCCCAGGGCCATAATGCTGCTGGAAGGATTAGGTAAATTGAAAAGAATCCAATGATCTCATCGGGATCCGATCCCGTGACCTTCCGGCTTGTAGCATAGTGCCTCAATCAACTACACTACCACGTGCCCCCAAAGTGTATATTTTTAAACAATTTTTTTTTGTGACTATCAATTTTATAAATTCAGAATATTAAAACACGAAGAGATCTTTCTTTTGGGCTATAACACTCTGTAGTCCGTTGAAAGTCAACCGACGTTTCTGAGGAACATGCCGCATGTTTCATAAACAAAGCACACTCCATTCGCACATCTCACCGAATTATTAGTGTTGCATGTTAAATTAACCACCTTTTTCTAATTCCTAGCAATGCCGTTAGATTACTTGAAAACAGAGACAGTGGGGGGGCGTGATCGATACGACGATACGACCATACGACCGATACAACCGGATACAACTACAGTAGCTAACGGTAGCTACAGTAGGATATAGCACTACGCTACGGTAGAGTAGGCCTGTGGGGCCCGAATGGATGTGTTTGTAGGGTTTGTAGTGTTGACGGATAGTGATTAGAGGCCCTAGAGGCTGTAATGGCATGTGATTGGGTGAAGAGGAGAGAGATGTGCCAGCTGCGCGAATTCTTGTGATGACTGAATTTTGAATGAGTCATTGTGTGAACGCATATGTAGATGTAACAGATAATGATGTACGTAAAATATTGTTGCTCGGGTGGCATATGGCCACAGACGTAATATTATTAGTGTCTCGGTAGTGTGCCTACATCTTTTATCATTATACGACGTTTTCCTCAGGTACTGTATATATTTCATGCAACAATGAGCAATATCGTAACATGTAGGGAATCGTTATATTTGCCCCGTGCATAATATTTTTTGCGTGTAAATTTAATAAAATTTGGAGGAAAATAAACCATACAACAAGTTCCTCAAAATTAAAATCTTACCCACTAACAAACTGTAAACATTTTCACAGAAAGAATGCCTTTGGGGTCAGACCTTTCACTGTGTTCATGAATTTATAGTCCTAAGGACTGCCAGATTTTTTCTTGTATAGTTCTGTGTTTATATATATATATATGTGTGTATTTTTGTGTATTATTATATATGAAAAATACTTCATATATTAATTTTCCAGTAACTGCTAAGGAATAATTAATAATGCAGTTATGTATGCGAATTGGTTTCTTTTAATATCTTTTGTTTTTGGATGAGTTTCTGAAACTTGAGTTATTTGTATATTTTTTTCTGAATGTGATATGTTGTACTCTGACTTGTTCCACATCCTGCTTACTAGGGTTTAGGAACACATCTGCTTGTGCAGACTTCTCAGTTACAGATCTTCACCCCCTTATCCTCCCAGTCACTGAAAGGTTGCTACAGTTTTTGACGTACATAACATGTTTATTTTTTAAGTTTACTTTAGTGGTTTACAGTGGTAGAACACAATTGATATTTGAGGTCAGATCATGTCTGTGCAATGGACTTTTGCTGCTTAAAAAGTAAAGTAAAAAGTAAAGTTATCCCTGTAACAGGCTGTGAAGGCTCATAGGGTTGTGAGACGTTGAGGGTCCCACATTATCTAGACAATCGGCTCACAGATGGCGGTAAAGTTGTCAGCCTTATGCACCGGCCGCACTTTACTCCCAGGAAAAATTTGTAAATAATTCCTGGTACTCATTTCTGTTAGAGGCTGAGTCAACCCAAGGGCCATAGTGCAGTTGGAAGGATTAGGTCAATTGAAAAAATCCAGTGACCTCATTGGGACTTGAGCCCGCGACCTTCCGGCTTGTAGCATAGTGGTTCAACTAACTACGTTACTGCTTATTTAAAATATTAATAGAAATTCAGTGTTCTGAAATTTTTGCATTGTAATTATCATACATAAAAACCAGGATCTGGGGAAGCTTAGTCTGTATAGTGACTAGGCTGTGGGCTGGCCAGCAGGAGCTTCATAACTTTTACTCCTCTCCAAGTATAATTAGAATGATCAAGTCAAGGAGGATGAGGTGGGCAGGGCATGTGGCATGAATGGGGGAGACGAGGAATGCGTATAGGATATTGGTGGGAAAGCCAGAAGGAAAGAGACCACTGGGAAGACCAAGGCATAGGTGGGTGGACAATATTAAAATAGATCTTAGAGAGATAGGATGGGATGGTATGGATTGGATTTATCTGGCTCAGGATAGGGACCAGTGGAGGGATCTTGTGAACACGGTAATGAACCTTTGGGTTCCATAAAATGCTGGGAAATTGTTGAGTAGCTGCAGAATTGGCGGCTCCAGCAGAAGGGCTCATCTCCACGAGCAAGTTAGGTTTCTGTAAGAATTCTCATGGAGCTGGTCGATTCAATTAACCAGCAAACCCCCATTCCGTATGTGTGCTGGATAATGGAGGGCTTACTGTGTATCATATCCATATCCTCTGTTAAGGGCTGCTAGTGTTTCACCTAACAGGGTTGTGTGTATGCCAGGACTGATTATAGGAAGTTAAAACATGAGGTTGGGGTGGCCACTAGTGGTATAATGTCCATACTAAATTTTGTGAAAGTCAACTGGTGCAAAAGTTTGGTGAAGAGACACACAGGTAGGATGCTGGTCTAGACCTACTTCTTACTTGTGAAAAGAAATGAAGTAAAATAAAAACAAGAAAACTGGCAATTAATCCCATGATTATACACACACTGTTGACATCACTGAAAGATAAATGTGGGATAGAGGTCAGGACATTGATAACAAATCATTTGGGTTTTGGGGGGAGAGGTCAGCTTGAGCGAGCACGCAAGTGGCTGAGCGCTCAGCACGAATGAAATATAATTTTGTTTCAAATTGGACAACATGGATGTACTACAACATTACACATTTTTAATTATAGTCTGATAAATGGTGACTAGATAAGGGCAAATGTTCCTAGTAAACATGTGGGCATACATGCATTCTTTGTTCATAGCAAATATTTTTGAAATATTATTGTAAATAACTACATTGTGATGTATCTCACATTTTTCCATTCATTCTGAGTGTAGGTCTACTGAATTAAATTTAACTATGTAGGTGGCTGGTATGCACATTAACTAGCAAACTTTCAAGTGTGCTTGCAGGCAACCTATCTTATTGCACATGTACAATTTTGAAGATCATTAAGTTTGAGAACAGTCATCTTCCTGAAAAAAGATTTTCCTTTTTGTAATGCCACTTCAAAACTGCTTGGGTATATATTAGAACTGTAAATATTCCTTTGTGTATGTTTTAGTAAGTAGAAGAGAAAAATGGATTATTCCGTCAACACCAGGCCACTTCTCCAACACAGTGAAAGTGAAAGTGATTTTGAAGATGACATCTTGGAAGTGAATAGATGTGATCACCAAGATGACCATGTTGTTGTGACAAAAGACTTGAAGCCACTGTTTAAAGCACGAGAACCAAGTGATAGGTACATTCAAATTTATTTTACAAAACATTCAGTATTGGCTGTACGTTCATGAATTGACCATATGAATAGTAATTTTTCTTTTTAATTACAACAGATGTGCTGCTGTTCATTAGATGAATCACTTATTACTAAAGCAAAGGATTAGATAAGTATTCAGCATCTGCATCTCAGTGATTGCATTTATCATGTGACATTAATGATCTCATTTGACATTTATATACGTCAACCATACTGACAAAAATAGCATGGCTTTACATTGTAATTGTGACTTATGTCATTCCAGATACAACTTGGCCTATTTAATATTTTATCTTCTGGGAATGACAACATTACTTCCATGGAATTTTTTTATTACTGCAGATGATGTGAGTCTTGACTCCCATATTATTTAACATTATTGTATCAAGTATCATTTTCAGTAACTGTCATTGAGAATCTTGTATGACAGGTGAAGCATATGTAATATGAGGGAGAGTCACTAATTAGGTCACAAATGGATATAAAATGTAAAACATGTGATATTCAAATCTGGAAAAAACATTTATTTCTTAACATATCCTCTACCAACACTGATACCCTTGTCCCACTTTACCAGTGTGTCAAAACCCACTGCAAAGATGTCCTTTGACTGCTGTATTAGCCACTTCTGCACCTCCATTTTAACCTCTCTGTCATTAGTGAACCATTTGTCACCAAGGTGGTGTTTCAGTAGACCAAACAGATTGAAGTTACTAGGGGCCAAGTTCAGGCTGTAAAGCGGATGATCAAGAAGGTCCCACTGTAGTTCTTGAATTCTTTCCTGGGTTGCTCAGGTTGTATGGGGTCTGGCATTGCCATGATGAAGCCGGACCCTTCTTGCTAATTGGCCTGGACATTTTCTGCGAATTGCAACCCTGAAGCTTCCACTGAACTTCACAGTACAATGCAGAATTTACATTTTCACTGTGCCTCTGAAAATGGGATAGCAGTACTCCCTGAGAATCCAAAAACATGGTAAGCGTAACCTTCCCAACTGATGGTGTACTTGTAACCTTAAACTTTTTGGTTGAAGATGAACTGGGATGTTTCCATTGCATTGAAGCACATTTTGATTTGGGTTGGTAGTGCTGCACCCATTATTTGTCCCCAGCACCAATCCTGTTAAGCATATTGTCTCCTTCATCTGCATCCTGTAAGAGATGTTGCAAGGACAGATCCATTTGGTTCATTTTTTCTTGATCCTTCAGTTCTCTGTGCACCCACCGTGCATACACTTTCCAAAATTTCAAACAAGCATGCATTATTCTGTGCGCTAAACTGTGGGAACACCTTAGTGCAGTTGCTGTGCTGTTTATCATTATCCTTCTGTCAGCTTGAATCAATTCTTCCACCCACTGCACAGTTGCTTCTGTCGTAATCTCAACAGGGCGACCTGGTATGGCATTACCTGCGGCTCTGAAATGTCTCTGAGAGAATTTCTCGACCCAGTTGTGAACTGCTTTATGCAATAAACACTTCTTACTGTAAACAGGAAACATTTCTTATTAACATCCCTTGCACTGACTCCTTTTGCGCACACAAAATGTGTGACAGAACGCTGCCCTTTGGTAGTACACCTCAAGCACGGTCGCCATTTTGACTACTGAAACCAGCCTCTGAATTTGTGTATGCCCATCTGCCACCTAGACCACCATGAAGCTGGACCACGCTGCTACCTAGTGATATGCATAGAATACCTATTACGTCCATTACAGCTGTTTTACTTCCATTTGTGACCTGTTTACTTGCTGTCCCTCATCAATCACAGCTTCTTCTCAATTAAATATGTTAATTGCAGTTACAAATTTGTAAAACTGTAAAATATGATGCAGGAATATAATCACTTATCTTAGCATTGTAACATATTTTTATATTGTAGCATCCTGTTGCACCTTTCACTTAGTGTTGATTAGTTTTTACAGCCTCACGTGCAACACTATGTTCACTTTCGAAGTTTAAATGTCCATCAGTACATGTTTCGACCAATGTGGTCATCATCAGGTGTTAATTTTTTTGGCAAGGAAACTGCAGTCTTCTGTTGTTGTTTATGTTGTATATGTATACATATGTATTTGAGTTGGTGGGTTATGTTTTCCCTTGTTGTCTCTTGAATGAATTTGAGAACATGACATGCAGCTCAACACACAATAAGAGAGAACACAGCCCACCAACTCAAACACGTATGTATATTAGGACCTATATATTTAACAAAATAAGAAACAACACAAGACAGCAGTTTCCTTGCCAAAATTTTTAACACCTGATGATGACCACATTAACCAAAACATGTAGTGATGGAGTTTTAAACTTTTAAAGTGAATAACTTTTAATAAATTTTATAGAACATAGTGTTGCACATGAGAGTGTAAAAAACTAATTGACACTAACTGACATTATATGTTGTCTATGTAGAGTTCAGATACTTATCAGTCAAACTGCTGGTGTCGAAAATACAGCATTTTATGGTCACCTGCCATACAGAGTAATTTTTAATTAGAGTTCATACAGTATAAGTGAATTTTCTCTACGAAATTCCCTTCAGACAAGGTCACACATACTAAAAAGTAAGACTGTTTTGATGAAAATTGGAAAATTTTAAACTTAACATTTCTGTATTAAATTCAAATGAAAAAAGGTAAAGTTGTCCCAGCATAAGGTAATTTGGGGGTCTGGAGCTGGAGTTCCATGCATAGGTAATCTCAGTGTTCAGTGGAAGTGAGCATTATCTTCTTGATCCAGAATCTGTTGCACAGTAGGCTGAATGTGGCCTAGAGTTGGTCTTTGATATCATAGCATAAAGAAAAAAATTCCTTTTTTGCTGGGAGTTTAATTCTGATCATCCAGCTTATAGCTGATCTCTGAGCTAATTAAATTAAAAACTGTTTGAGTTTACAAAGGTCTGTGGGTAAGCAACTAATTAAATGAGACTCTTTTTATGCTAGTTTTGTCATAGTTACACCACCTTTACAACTAATTTTGTAAACAGAATCTAAAATGTTCTATTTTCAAATGAAATAAAAAGTTATAATTCACATAAATCATTTCACATGAAATGCTGACCTGTCCTCTTCTTCCACTTTTAAACAGTAGTTTTGATTAGGGAAGTACAAAAAAGGAGGCCTCATTATCATTATCACACATGGATCATAAGTATATGTTGTGCAGCCTTTGGCACAGCCAATACACATATGGGAACCTCCCACATTCTAACACGCAGCATTCAACTTCTGCTCAAGCCAAGTCAGTGTCACATGGCAATCGAGCGCTGATTGGAATGTGGCATTGACTTGGCTTGAGCAGAAGTTGAATTCTGCATGTTAGAATGTGGGAGGTTCCCACACACACTTTGGTTTAATTGTTCATATTAATTGTGCATGTATTTATGTTCACTGTTCTCATTTGCATGAGTAATTTGTGTGCGGTTATCACAGCTACAGAAGTTTCTCACCTTTCTTTAGAAGATCTTTTATCTGCTTGTTATAAATCTGATGTCTGCCAGCTATCTGAGTGTTACTGACCAAAGGATGAGGTGATTTGTATTTTCACATTGTGTGAAGGGAGAGGAATACCGTTTCTCTATTAATCATTATCATATTTACATGACTGACATTTTGGCTGAGACATCCGTCCATGCCTTTATGTAAGGAAATATTTCATTTGCATGCCCATATTACATTTGAACTGTGTGATTTTCATTCTTCCTACAAACTGATTACTAGTCCTTGTAAAGTCTGTGTCATCAAAAGGTACATATATGTGTTTGTTTCTGTGGTAACTTATAATTTATACACATGAAAACAACATACAAATAAAAGAGTATCTTCTAGGATATAATGCTATTTAGTCCATTGAAACTGAAAGTTCGGCAGAATTCATCGCCTCCATCTTCACTGCTGAAGAGTAGGCTGGGCAAGAAACCAGCAGAAAGCAGGCAGCAAGCAGAACCTCTTTCATGTTGGTTTCTTGCTTGGCTACATGGTATTATATTCCAGAAGACAGAACTCTTCATAACCACCACCCTCAGTACCTGAAATCCTACATATGCAGATAGTTTCAAATGGCAAGAGATGTTAGGAATTTTTCTTCACCGATACTGCCAAAGGTCAAATGTATTAAGAGGAGGAGAAGTCTGTGTTTTTAGGAGAGATATGTTATTCATAGCATAGAAAAGTTCAGTGCAAGTAAAAGTCCAATGCATACTTTACTGAAGAACTCTATAAACATTTAACATAGTGTAAGCCTAAATAGAATGGAAATAGATCTTCGTGGTTGCCTACAGATGGCATATAAGGGACATGGCCCCAAAATTTATTCTTTTAATACCAGGATTTATGAATATTTTCGTTGAGGAAGGATAACAGAAGGGATAAGTAGTAATTTGTGCACCGTGATAAAAGAAGCTGGTGTTACAATGTGTGATTATGTTAAAGAAATTAATCAAGTAGAGAAAATTCTCTTCTTAATTCTCACACTGTTTCAGAATTTCCACTTTGATCTTGTTTTGAATAGAAAAACTAATTCTTACACATATCTAATTATTACAATGTTTCATCAATGAAATCTTGTCTGAGTTGTCACGGTTACATGATGAAACTCAAAATATTTTTGCTAAATTCAACTTGGCATGGAAAGGGTAAATAAATAACATTTGGTTCACAGAAGTTTAAAACTTGTGAATTTCATTGGCAGTGCATGTTTATTAATAGACAATTAAATTGTTTTTCAAGTACTGGATGTTCAAGTTCCGTGATGTTACTGCAAATGTTTCGGATAAGAGCAACAGGACAGAACTTCAAGCAGGCTTTACAGCATACCTGAGTGTTGCATCTACCATTCCCAACACACTGTTCCTTATTCTTAACTCATTACTCAGCCACAAGTAAGTCACTGTTAAAATAGTGATGACTGCATACATGTTTTCTAGTGTTGCAGAATAAATTTGTGTGATAGAATCATATTACATTCTTTTCCAGAATTTCACTCCAAATTAGAATGATTGGTTCACTCTCATCCATCTTCCTTTTATTTGTGTTGACCACAGTGTTTGTGAAAGTGGATACAGATTCCTGTAAGTATATGATCAAGCATGTAATTTTATGTGTTTAAAGAAGGTTAAATATGAGCAGTAGGGAGAATATTTTGATCTGAAGGAATTAACCAGAGGCAAGTTGAAAATTACATAATTCAAAGCTCAGGAAGTATGTGTGCTAAAGCATGTAATGTTACATGTTATTTTATATTAAGAAATGAAGATGAACTGTAGGTGTTTGAAAAGTGATCACTAAGGAGAATAATTGGGTCTTGGGTGGGGAGGGGGGGGGGGGGAAGCTCACTAGAAATGAAAATTGGTCAATAAAGGATTTGTGAAATGTGGCTATGTGATGAATTGTTTATTATACCTGCTATTTTGAATCAGATTAAAATGAATGTATCCATAAACAAAATGTGAAGGGAGAACATATGGATCTGAAAGGGTTTAGCTGAGTAGAGATTACATAAAAAATTAAATATAATTTTGTAATAAAGTATGTAATTTTATTTATTATTTTGTATTAAAAACAAAAAATGAAGTTGTCTGAAGTTTGAAAATTGTATGTAGTTTAAAATCCATGATTTATACAGCTCTTTATTGTGATTTTGATGATTGAAGAATAGAAATTAATTTGCATTGGGCTTGTAGCATGCATGTAAGAAAGAAGCTACATGAAGCATAGAGGAAAAGACCACAGAATATGATTAATTATATTAATGATTTATAACTATATTGCAGGGCAAGAACTGTTTTTCATCATTACACTGGTCACAGTGGTATTTCTTAACAGTAAGTATCCAGGAAAGTAAAATCTTTGTGTGCAAAGTACAACAGATGATTCATGCATATGGTGTTCAAAAGTAAGGGTTCCTAGGTCATACAAATTAACTGAGAAGTCATTGCAATGTTAAATTTAGCTCATTTATTCCACTGAAATGACATTATATTTCAATGTAATCCTCAAGCACATCAACACATTTGCTCCATCTTGGCATGAGTTTAAAATTCTGTCATGTCAGAAATTAGGCTCTTGCATTCACTCCCGTTTACCAACAGCCATTTCCACTTCTTCATTGTGGAATTAGTGATATCCCAAGTGTTGCCATCTGTTGTATACTCGTATTACCCCTACTGAGTGGTACCACCTACTGAAAATCAAAATGCATGATTAATAGAAATGTTACAGGCTAGGGAGCCTTACTTACTGTACACGCCTTTTATATTAGTGTGCTTTATACATTCATTACTAGAATTATTATATGAAGCCTTTAAATTGAACATTACCACTTGCTGAATACAGTTCTGTGTATATTGTGTTATTTCACAGTTGTCATGTAGGCAGTTCTAACTTCAATGGAAGTGGAAGCTGCATCATTGTGTCATTTCATTTTAATGTTATACTGGACATATCAGTCAGAATCACTGGGTTTTTGGATGTTGTCCCTGAGAAAGAGCTAACCTCCAGTGATTTATAAGGGACCCAGCTGAGAAGATGTCTTCCACTCTTCCCTCACCTGAGGGCAGAAACACATCAAGTTTCTGAAACGTTGTGTTTTCTAGTTTCTAGAATACCAGATGATGGATAAAGTCCAAAAGCCCAGTGATTTTGAGTGCTGTACCCCATTGTCAGAACCCTTTAGAATATACTCAGATATTTCAACCTTCTGCTGAAGCCATCACTGATAAGTTTTCTGATGTAATTAACAGTGGTTTGGTCTACATCACAGCTTGAAATTTTAGTAAAGATTTCAACAGAAAGTAAAAGCATAAAAATAATACCAGCTTCATTTTCACCAACTAAATACACATCATACAACTTCTTTAATATCATTTAGATGTCTGATTATTTATATAATGCCCCTTAAATTGTAAGGTCTTATACCTTGTCTTGGGGCATGCAGTAGTGTAGTTGGTTGAGGCACTATGCTACAAGCAGAAGGCCACAGGTTTGAGTCCCGATGAGGTAGATTTTTCTTTCAGTTGACCTAATCCTTCCAGCTGCACTGTGGTCCTGGGGGGGTAAAGGGCAGCCGGTGCGTAAGGATGACAACCTTACTGCCGTCTGTGGGCCAACTGTCTAGAGAAAATTTTGGAGCCTTGACATCTCACAGTGGTATGGGCCTTCATGTCCAGTTACAGGGATAGCTTTGCCTTTACCTTTCAGATCTTGTCTTGGATCTATACATTTACAAATACAAAATACAAAAGAAATCATCAGAGACTGGTCATTAAATATACAAATAGGCTGCATTTTAGATTCAAGAGAATCCAAAATATATTGTTATATTGCAGGTTACAGATTTCTGGGTCAGCGAGGATCAAAATACGCCCATAGTAATGGATCTAAATGAGAAAACTATTTTATGTTATACATGTATGCAGTTTTAGACATGTCTCACAGTAGTGTTTATTAACTTTCCATGTCTGTATACTCAACTTCCATTTTGTAATAGCTTTAGTGTGGATTTTGACAATATTCTATATTATGGTCTGTATTAAATTCTTCAGCAAGATTTTGACTACTATTGCAAGAAGGCCTAAATGTATTTTTACATATATATCAGTAAATACTGTGTAGACAGATCTATAAGGTGAAAGCTGCTATTATGATGAATATTTTATATTATATCCCCTGTCATTGTATAAAATGTTGTTTTTGAGATAAGCAACATCAAGCAGTGACATGGATATAATATAAAAGTAGACACAAATCTATCTTTAATGGAAAGTATTAATTGTCAAGCCATCTTTAGTAAAGTGAAATCCTGAGACTTAAATGTTGTAGTATATTGAATAAATTAACTAAAAATATGTCATTTTAGATTGTATTAAGTAAATGATAAGATACTTAAGGTTTGAAAATAAGTACACAGTTAATGTGTTGATTTAGAGGTCAGTTACTATGAATGACTTTTTTTGGTGATAAGTGTAATTCATAACATGAAGAGTTTTATATATTTGTAAAAACAGACCAAATGATATATGGACTAATGACTCGCTTGGGTTATCTCTGTTTTCCAGTTGCAAGTGCAATATTACAGGGTGGTCTGTTTGGTATTGTGGGCAAGTTCTCATCACGGTATATCACCGCAGTAGTGAGCGGCCAGGCTTTGGGTGGAATCTTTGCAGCATTGGCAGAGATTGCGTCTCTATGCCTTGGAGCTTCTTCTACAATTAGTGCATTTGTCTACTTCATGGTGGCTAATGGGATGCTGCTTCTTTCTCTTGCTGCATATCTTGTCCTTTCACGTGCGGTGTGTACTGTATTTAACACTGAAGAGTAGTACTTTATTTTGTAGAGTATAACATGCACTGAAATTTAAGGGAGAAACTTGCTATATTTTAGGACTGTAGGATGCACATAGATTTTATGCAGTTTTTCCAGAAGAAACGGTATCATATACTTTGGAAAATGCAGTAACTCCATGGTACAGGGTCTTCCTTGTATATAATATAATTACTGGGCTGGTCAGGAAATTATCCCTGCTTTTATGGAACCCAAAGTGGCCCACTCAGCCTTCCATCCAATGGGCACCAGGGCCCCTTTCCCCAGGTGTAAAGCAGCAGGGTCTTGAAGCTGACCACTCACTTCCAGCTAGTGCCGAGGTCAAGAAATTGTGGATCTATGCAAACCACTCCCCCATACTCCATCATGGTATAGTGCTTAATTAGTTAAGCACAGAGACAAATTTACTTTTTACCAGCACTATTATTATCCTCTCTGTTTTCATCATGATTACTATAGCACATTAAAAAAAGTATTTAATTTTGTAACTGAAATATTTTAGTTTTACAATATTACATTACACATATATTATTACCCTGTCCATTAAAGGTCAGGAAATGGTTTGAAAAATTAACATGTTGCGTACCCTCACAGTTCTATATGCACAGGAAGAAAATATATCTAAGAAACTGTACTATGGCTCAGCAATGAGAATGTGTTTTGAATCTGACTTGTAGGTCTCATGACAAGGCTCATTAGGTTCCATATAAATAGGAATTTCTTGATCACCTTGAGAGAGAATGTGCATCATACATTCAGTTTGGTTGTTAATTATAATTTCAGATTTTAGAAAGACGTTATTGAGGTTAACGTTTCAACAGAAGAATGTCTTTGTGAACCTTGTTGTATTATGTTCAGTAATTGTTATATATCCCTCTATTTCAGGGTCTTCACATAATACTGAACAAAGAGTTCATAGCGTTCAGTTCTTTCATGCTACATACAATACCAGCTGTCTTATTATTTTTACAGGTATTTTTCCGATTCCACATGCTGGACAAAGTTGAAGTGAGCTCTGTGCAGTATGAACCAGCAGTCTTTCAAGCTAGTGATAATCCTCCCACACAGGAAATTTCTAACAGGACTATTCTCAGTAAGGTGTGTGTACTAACACAGTTCAACTGAGTCATGATAGCTTAGTCAAATTAACTGGGCACAGGCTTCATGTCTGGGATTTAATTTTAAGTGGGAGTGTTTTGAATTTTTCCCTTCATTATCACTTCCAAAACAGTTCTGAGGCTTACCCAGTTTCCTGTCCTTTAGTGTACTGGGGGAGCTATTTCTCCAGGGCTGAAGAGACCATGGTATGAAGTTTAAGACTGTATACTGTTATTAACTAACCTTTCTCTGGCTGGAATATAGGATGAAATATTTTATGTAGTGAGGAGCTTCACGAATTAGCGATCTTCTGATACGTATCTAGGATATTATGATGAATTTGATATGTACCTGGGGGGGGGGAAATAAATGTTTACAGAATTGCGGTAGACATACCTTTTAATGAATGAAGCAATGATGTACAATATCTAAGGAACCTTTGTGGGATATGAACTGTCTATGCGTGAGGTCCACTGGCTGGCTGTTAACAATGTTGAAATTGTTGGTTGTTTTTTCTGGTTTAGCGAGTTAATCTCACTAGACATGTTCTCAGGTTTAACAGCTTTGCTTTCTTAGTCCTGACTAAGGACAACAGTTGTAACATGCTGCCAGACAGGCATATTACACATCTCAGGGACAGTGATGGATGACTATGGAACATTAGTACAATGATGACTGGCAGGAGAAAACCAAAGAACTTGAAGAAAACCCTGCTTCAATAACATTTTTGCATGTCCCACATGGCCTACTCTTGGATTGAATCCAGGTTTCTGTGGTGAGAAAGTGGCATCTGAATGCTTGAGCTATGGCACGGAGATGTTGTGGGACATGTATAATAAATGTATAACAAAAATACCTAAAATGTTATGTTTGTTATGTTTACAGATTTGGGTGTATGGATTCTCTCTGTGGATGACATTTGTGGTGACCTTAACATTGTATCCAGCGGTTACTGTCTTAGTAAACTCAACAGGCAGAGGAAACAGCAAACCTTGGAATGGTAAGAAATATTCTTCCTTGTCTACTAAAGTATTATGAATTGAAGAAGCATAAGCCATGGTTCGACAAAAGATGCTCAGAATTAGTAGCTCAAAGGAATACAACCCAAATTGCAGTGGTTACAGGATCAGAGCGAAATAAATCGGGATAATCTGAACAATACAAGACATGAGCCACAAATGTTTCAGAAATAAATAGAAGGAATGTCTGAAAGACAAAATTAATTAGCTTGCAACAGACAGTAAGAACAAGAACATTAGAGACCCATATAGAGGAATAAATTAATTTAGCAGCGGTTACCAACCGAGAAGTGACATATGAGAATGAGTAAGGATGAGCATGGTGATCTGCTTGCAGATTCTCACAACATTTTGAATAGGTGGAAGAACTACTTCTCTCAGTTATTGAATGTACATAAGGTCAGTGATGTTAAGCAGATAGAAATACATACAGCTGTGCTGTTAGTATCTGATTCTACGTAGGTCATACCGAAAGTCATGAGCAACTTTTTTTTGCATGCAACCTGGAAACAGCAGACAAAAGAGAGTATGGTGGTAGGTGGAACCAGCTGATGTGTTAACCTTGAGTGTCTTGTGACGTCACTAGCTTGCGTCACATGACCAGTATCACTCCTAACAAAATGGCCGACAACGATATGTTGTTTCACCAGCATGCTGTCATCAAACTTCTTGTGAAAGAGGAAATCCCTGCTGCAGAAATTCACCAGAGACTTCAGCGTGCTTATGGAAGTGTGTGCATGGGTGCAAGCAGTGTTCAAAGATGGGTGAAACATTTTAAAGATGGGAACACCAGCATCGAAGATGAGCCTCGGAGCGGTCGTCCTCGAACAGCCTCAACTGAACGCAACAAGGAAAGAGTGGATGAGATCATTCAAGATGACAGGCGTTTGACTGTGGACACAATAGCCCGAAAACTTGGAATAGGGCACAGTGCAGTATAGGAGATGAGTGAAAGCTTGGGCTATAGGAAAGTTTGTGCTCGTTGGGTCCCGCGGTTATTGATGGAAGACCACAAAGGTCAGCGAAAAGCCATCAACTCAGAACTGCTGCAGAGATATGGACACAAAGGCGATGAATTTTTGCTCTGTATTGTGACAGGTGACGAAAGCTGGTTTCACCATTTCAAGCCTGAAATGAAACGGCAGAGTGTGAAATGGCACCATTTCATTCTCCATCAAAAAAGAAGGCCAAGACAGTGCCATCAGCTGCGAAGGTGATGGGCACAGTCTTCTGGGATGCAGGGGGGTTTGTTCTGGCCGAATTCCTGGAACCTGGGCAAACCATCAGTGCTGCTCGTTATGTCCAGACGCTGCACAAGCTCCGTCGTGCATTGCACAATAAACGTCGGGACGAAACATCTTCATCCTGCATGACGACACTTGCCCCCACGCCGCTCGCCTCACATTGGAAGCAATTGCAAAGATGGGGTGGGAAGTTCTTCCACACCCCTCCTATAGCCCTGATCTGGCACCCTTCAACTACCATCTTTTCGGATTTGTGAAGGATCAGCTGTGTGGACATTTTGAGACAAGAGAGGCAATTCAGAAAGCAATGTGTCAGTGTCTTCGGATGGCTGGAACGGAATTTTACAGAAGGGGAATTTTTGAACTCCCAGAACGCTGGGAGAAATGTGTACAAAGAAGTGGCGATTATGTGGAAAAATGAAGAAATGTCTGTAGATTGAGGTGGAGTATTTGGTTTTTCAATAATAAAGCATGTTACTTTACTAAAAATTGTTGCTCATGACTTTCAGTATGACCCTTGTAGTCCTTCTGAGGTTGGTTGGTTGGTTGGTTCCTAATGGCTGCATTTGGGCACATTTAACCCATTTTGCTTCTTGCTTCCCAATAGTGAGCACTCAAGTTCTTTATTGCATCTTGAAGAAGTTCGCACTTTTCTTTTGGGAAGCTTTGCCAGGTTTGTTACTCATTTCACAATACCCAGACGACATGTATGACTTAAAGAATGTCACAGAAGTTGAAAGTGCTATTTCAAAGTCTGTCGAATTGATTCAAGCAGGAGATGAAACATATGGTCTGAGAACCATGAACTCATTAATTCTATTTGGAATAAGGAAGATTTGCCTGATCAGTGGAAGGAGCCTATTATTGTACCAATTTGCAAGAAGGGGAATAAAAATTACTGCAGTAATTATCATGGGACATCACTGTTATCAACTTCATACAAAATTTTATCCAATATTCTTCTGTTAGGCTTAAGTCCACACACAGATAAAATTATTGGGGATCATCAGTGAGGGTTTCAACATAACAGATCAACTACTGATCAGACTTTTTTTTTATGTTCATCAGATACTGGAGAAAAAATGAGAGTAGAATGAGACAGTACATCAGCAATTCACAGACTTCAAGAAATTCAAGAAAGCCTGTGATTCAGTTAGGAGGGAAATAATATACAATATTCTGATAGAATTCGGTGTACCCATGAAACTGGTTAGGCTGTTAAAAATGTGTTTAAATGAAACACACAGCAAAGTCCTTATAGGTACACACGTGTGATAATTTTCCTATCCAAAATGGTCTGAAACAAGGAGATGCTTTATTGCCACTACTTTTCAACTTTGGTTTCGAATATGCCATTAAGAAGGTCCGGGAGAACCAGGTGGGACTGAAGTTAAATGGGACATGTCAGCTACTGGTCTATGCTGTTGATGTGAATCTGCTGGGAGATAACATAGATACCATAAAAACACAGAAACTTTAATTGATGCTAGTAAGGAGATTGGTCTATAAATAAATGGAGAAAAAACTAAGTATATGTTGCTGTCTCATCACCAGAATGCAGGGCAAAATCATGACATTAAGATGGCTAACAGATCGTTTGAAAGTGTGTCACAGTTCAAATATTTGTAAACAACAATAAAAAATCATAATATGATTCAAGAGGAAGTTAAGAGGAGATTGAATTTGGGCAATGCTTGCTACCATTCAGACCAGAACCTTTTGTCTTCTCGTCTGCTGTCGAAAGACGTAAAAATTAGAATATATAAAACTATAATATAGCAATGAATCTTTGGGTTCCATAAAATGTTGGGAAGTTCTTGAGTAGCTGCATAACTAGCACTTCTGAAGTATGGCTCAGCTCATGAAGCTAGTTGTGTAGTAAGTGATGCAGAGCAGAATTTGTGCTGTAAGACCTCCTTTCTAGGTCTTAGCAGAGTTAAAACACTTACCTCGTATACATTCCAAAACTTCGTAACTACAAGTTATTATAGCAATATTGCTAATTCACATTCTTTACAGTTTGTCACAGCACACTAAGTCTTCTACATCTTCACTAGTGATGGTAAACTGGTAACAGTTCCCAACCCCATAGGTTCCTCAGGTTCTGTGTTCATGTCCTTACTGGCCATGACTGCCTCACAACTAATCCATGGCTCCATGTGTGCACACAAACAAACACACACACAAAACATACGAACAGACGTACTACTGTAACGTGTTATGGGGTACGCCTGACAAAAATAATGGGTTCTAGTCCGGATGATTCCATCTATTAGCATTTTGTTTACAAGTTTTCTTAACCCGTTGGCATGGTTTGACGTGTATGTTTCGTCAGGTATTTAAATCGTCTGGGGGGGTTCGACGTGTATGTTTCGTCCAGCTGCACACCTATGTTATAACGCCCATAATAATTGATGGTTTTGCTGTAGATTGTTAGATTCTTCGCTGGCCTGTTGTCACAAGAACGGTTTATAATGAGACACGAGTTTAAGAGCGCTAAGTCATCGTTACATATGCCTGTCTTGCAGCAAAGTTCCTGTGGCTCTTGCGAGCGGTTTATTCGTTCTACGTTTATGAATGCCGTGTTTTCTTTCCTATGAAATTATAAACAGCAGAGACGTGATATGTGCTGTGTTTATAATATCATATTGCCCTGAGCTGGCCACACTAACACACTCAATTGGAATTCTTAGAAGAGGGATATCCAAACATTTATTCTTGCAAGATCGATTGATTTCGCACAGTACAAAGGCCCAGTTCTTAGAAAAACGCCACAATTTAAGGCAGAACACTGTGGTCACCCCCTGAGACGATACGGATGTGTGTGGGGGAGGGAAAAGAACTCATTCCTTCGCTCATTATCGCTCCAGTTGACTCCATTTTATCGTACTGACCTTGGTGGTCGTTTCGAGGGATGACCATAAATATTTTTTTGAGCCAGCTAAGCTCTACTTTCGTTCACTACATACCAGACAGTTCTTAGAATAACTTCATGAATTCTGTGGTCACCCCTACGACATCTCCTGCCGCCAAAATGGATGGAATATCAAAGGCATAGCAACAACCCCTTGTTATGATAACTCGTAACGTTGAATTTACTACAGCTGACCTGGCAACTAAACGGGTCACGGAAAGACATTTCCTTGAAGTATACCCCTCACGGGTAAGAAGGCAAGGCCGCACATATGTGTGGTTAAAAAAAAGGGCCAAAAAAAATACACAATATTGGAGCGGAGAATGGTGAACGTGGGGCACCGTTGGGTTATACGAATGCTTCAAGGCCTTCCTTCTACTAAACCAACTGCCTCCATTACCGAGATACAGGGCGCTCATATTATAAGGTAAGGTTATAAAACCACCATTTAAGATCATTTTAGTGAAAGTTTCATCCTTCAAGGCGTACCATTCACTGCTGAAATACTAAACAACCTGCTTCCATGGCCGAGATACAGGGCGCCCATATTATAAGGTAAGGTTATAAAACCACCATTTAAGATCATTTTAGTGAAAGTTTCATGTTCCTATCTCATAGAATTTAAGAACAATGATGAATAAATCATTTTCGAGCAAAATTTAAATGGCCGGCTGAATATATTACCGCCGGAGACGCGGCCGCGGAATTTAAATGACCGCGTCAAAGGGTTAATCACACTTATTACAGTGCTACTCCTGATTTACACAATTTACAGTTCATTATTACAGACACCCTAGGATTATCCATCTTCTCTAATCGTCTCCTAGCAACAGATATCAACACAGAAACTAGTACTTCAAATCACTATGAAGCCTTCTTGCCATTTTTTGTTCAATCACTCCCTACTCCTCTGTCCTAATCTGTACTCAGTTAATCTTCACAATTCACTAAGGACACACTCCATTCTGATCCTTGTACTCTCAACTGCTGAGCCCTCCTGGACTCTCCTCAGCTGCAAGCAGACTCGTGTTATATATCCATGGCACATACAATACAGAAAACAGTTCTGTTGTTGCATAGCGCAGACCACACTCTAACTGTCCTTTGGCCCTTATGTTGTGGGTTGCAGCTTCTCATCTAGCTGTTCCCTCTCACCTGTTGGTACTCCAAGTTTGCAGATTGCTTCTGCGTCCTTATCCAGTTCTTCATCCCCTTTTTGTTGTTGTTGTGGATATTGGTTGTTTGCAGGATATGGGTTACATGAATACTGGGTGCCAGTAAGCTTATTATAAAGGCTTACTATTTGGGGAAAAAGGGAATTAACCGGAAACTACATGTGATAGGTACTGCATTTGCACTAGGGTGATGAGAATCTGTCTCAGGGTGCATACAGGCCTTGCGTTAGCGAGAAAGATAGGAGTGTTTATAGCTATGCACTACACAACACTCTTTAATGAGCACTTTTTGATATTCAGTTAATAACATTTGTCCTTAATCACTTAAACCAAACTTGAAATCACTCAAATATTTGGGACCGGATCTCTGGCTAGTTATTCAGTGACTGCTTTTTAGTACAACACATAGAAGTGATTACACTTTCACTTAAACTTTTAAGCCAAATTAACCGTTCAGCGTGGTTTGACATGTATGTTTCGTCAAGGTATTTAAATCGTCTGGTGGGGTTGGACGTGTATGTTTCGTCCAGCTGCACACCTATGTTATAACGCCCATAATAATTGATGGTTTTGCTGTAGATTGTTAGATTTTTCGCTGGCCTGTTGTCAGGAGAACTGTATTTAATGACACACGAGTTTAAGAGCGCTAAGTCATCGTTACATATGCCTGTCTTGCAGCAAAGTCCCTGTGGCTATTGCGAGCGTTCTACTGTTATGAATGGCGTGTTTTCTTTGCTATGAAGTTATAAACAGCAGAGACGTGATATGTGCTGTGTTTATAATATCATATTGCCCTGAGCTGGCCACACTAACACACTCAATTGGAATTCTTAGAAGAGGGATGTCCAAAAATTTATTCTTGCATGATTGATTGATTTCGCACAGTATATAGCACCCAGTTCTTAGAAAAATGTCACGAATTAAGGCAGAACACTGTGGTCACCCCCTGTGACGATACGGGTGTGTGTGGGGGAGGGAAAAGAACTCATTCCTTCATGTATTATCGCTCCAGTTGACTCCATTTTATCGTATTGACCTTGGTGGTCGTTTCGAGGGATGACCATAAATATTTTTTTGAGCCAGCTAAGCTCTGCTTTCGTTCACTACATACCAGCCAGTTCTTAGAATAACTTCATGAATTCTGTGGTCACCCCTACGACGTCTTATGCCGCCAAAATGGATGGAAAATGAAACGCAGAAGCACCAACACTTGTTATGATAACATAAAGGTTGAATTTACTGCAGCTAATCTGGCTAGCGATACGACTCACGGAGAGACATTTCTTCTTATATTCCCCCCACGGGGAAGAAGGCAAGGCCGCACAGAAGATGTTTTGTTTACGGAAAAAAGAGCCAAATGAGAGATACGCAGTACTGGTATGGTGAATGTGAGTCAGCGCTGTGTATAGTAGAATGCTTCAATGCGTGCAACACTCCGCTCAAATTCTGAACCACCACCGAGATACCGGGCGCTCATATTATAAGGCAAAGTTATAAAACAATCTTTTAAGATCATTTTAGTGAAAGTTTCATGCTTCAAGGCGTACGATACACTGCTCAAATTCTAAACGAACTGCTTCCATTGCCAAGATACCGGGCGCGCATATTATAAAGCAAGGTTATAAAACCACCTTTTAAAATCTTTTAAGATCATGTTCCTATCTCATAGAATTTAAGAACAATGATGAATAAATCATTTTCGAGCAAAATTTAAATGGCCGGCTGAATATATTACCGCCGGAGAGACACGGCAGCGGAATTTAAATCACCGCGCGAAAGGGTTAAGATTCACACTAATTTTTTTTTTTGCATCTAATTAATTTTGCTGAGTTATTCAGAGACTGTTCCAATAACACACTTAAAAATAATTTTGTATTTAATTTTGACTTTTGAACCAAACTGCCATTGATGCTAATTTTTCGGCTGTATCCTTGGAGAGTTGTTCAGAGACTACTTTAGCAGACTGACTCTGCTGTCAGGCAAGAAGTCTTCACAGCTTCAGCTCCACCTCAAAGTTACTACCCTAATTTTTGCTGATTGGAACAATTTTAATTTAGGGAGTTTACCCTAATTCTCACTGTTCCAATCATCTGGCTGTAGTTTGGGACTTTGAACCTTAAAGTCCTAATGTCATTTTTGACAGCTGCTTGAAAAATTATACCAGTAGCTTACATTGAGGGCCTTCCCACTTTGGACTGCGGGGTTCAAAACCTGTCAAGTGTAACTTTACCAAAGGATCCCACCAGTTGGCTTTTGAACTGAATTTCCAGGAAAACTGTACGGGGTGCTTCTTGCCTTGTCTTTGTAGGAGTGAAGTAGGCCCTGTTCTTGAAATCAAGAATCGGGCTAAGTCACCCTTGAATGTTCCTTGCTACATCCTATGCATAATTGCTATAAAAAGAAATTTTGATTACAAATAAAGCTGGTGGTGTCAGTGGTATGGCTACAACACAGAAAAGAAGTCAAGTGATAGCTATCTCACCATTCCATTGGTGCGCTAACTGTTGCCTAGCAATGAGCTATAAACATTTGTCCTATCGTTGTGCGTGCATATCACGGGGTTTTTATCAAGCTGTTGCCTGGCAATGAATTGACATGTCACAATGCATTGGGTTTATAAGCACCCCATCTTCTTAGTCTGTGTGAACTTATCTACCCATTAAATTATGAAGCCATTATGTTAGTAGTAATAGTATGCCATAGCTCAAGCGGTTTGTCACTGGCTTCCCACAGCGGCAGCCAGGGTTTGATCCTGGGTCTTTTCAAGTGGGATTTGTGGTGGACAAAGTGGTGCTGGGGCAGGTTTTCTCTGAGTACTTCGGTTTCCCCTGCCAATCTTCATTCCACCAATTGCTCCACAATCACCCTCCCCTATCATCTGGGGCTGGTACAATAGGTCAGAAGTGGCTGCAGTACAAGGGACTTAGTCCCACCCCACTAGCAATAAAAAAAATAGTAGTGATAGTAGTACCACAATCCTTTATCCACTCCAGGGGTTACATCCCAGAAAATCAACGAATATATAAGACCAGCATGTTTGGAAATTGGAGAAAGGGGGTTGTGGGCACTGTTAACAATTGTCAAATCTGTATGCTGCTACAAAACTGTAGGCACAAGTGTCACAAGAAGACACACTGCAATGATAGTCTGGAAGCTAGAAACTGGTTTTTGATCACATTGCAGCTCTTCCCATAGCAAAAGGGATCTCTTGATGTGGACACTGGTGATTTCTTCTCTGTGTGCACACTTATAAACTGCAGGTATATGAAACAAAGCATCATGATTGGCAAAACGTCATACAGTTGGAAAACCATAGATGCTTTATGTTCACAATTGTGAGACTATGGCTGATGAGGGTTTGTTGTGTCAGTAAAAGTAATAAAAATTAAAGATATAGTGCTGTAAAGGGACCCGGTACTGGAGAAAATAACATGACAACACCCAGCAAGAATTTACATACAGTAAAACTTTGGTCAGCTGTGACGTAATAATAGTGTAGTATGTCTGTTGATTACTGTTTCAGATATGTACTTTGTTCCTGTGGTAGGATACCTAATCTTCAGCACATGTGACTATGTGGGGAGGATTCTTGCAGGATTGCTGCAATGGGTGAGTTCATGGAACTGATATAAAACAGACACAGTGGACTGAAGAATGCTTCACAGAATATAGATGTAGTGAAATCAGAGTATCTTCACCTCCTATCCAGCATAGAGGGAGACAGAAGCTTAGGAATCTTTGTTTTGTTGCAGCCACGGAGCAGTAGTTGGGTAGTTGCTCTGCTGAGCATGTTTCGAGTTGTGTTCATTCCCCTTCTGCTGCTATGCAATGCTCAACCTCGTCATCACTTACCAGTCGTTATGAACTCAGATCTCTACTACATTCTCATCATTGTGCTGTTTGCATTGTCCAATGGCTACTTGGCAAACATTACTCTCATCTGTGTACCCAAGTAAGTCCTCTTTTCACCAACTCTCTAAGTATTAATTAATTGAAGAATTTTCTGTTTATAGCTCTGTGTTGACATGTTAAAAATTGTGATCACTCATTTGATATACATTATCTCTGCAGTTGAGAGCAGTCTCATAACACACTTGCAAAACAATCTTACCCTAAACTTTATTAATTCATTGTGTTCAAATTGCAGAATTGTTGATTCCACAGAGCAAGAGACTGCTTCTTCAATGATGGCTGCCTTTCTGGGCATTGGACTGGCCACTGGCTCAGCTCTCAGTCTTGTAATGGTCAAAGTACTCTAAAGAAGTTCTGTGTGTTAGACACAAACACACATCATCTCCTCAGGAAAGGTTTATCATTCCATATACTGCTATCATCATGTATCCACCTGAATTGAGGCTCTTCTTCAACATGATCCAGTAGCACCATTTGATGTATATATCCTGTTACTATTAAGTTTTATGTTGAGAAGGGAGTTTAATGTAATTGTCATGTTAAAGTGCATATACACTCCTGCATTTCACACTTCATGCAGAAATACCCACAAAAATGCAGCATCATGTAATTGTAAATGATCTGAGTCACCAGTAGCTAATGTGTTCCTTGTTTATCTTTTAAGTGGGGAGATTAAGTATTGAATTCTGAAATGAATTATTATCACACTGATATTATAACGCTTTTCCATAGACAGCTGTTAGAGAGTTTAGATTGCAACCCAAATCAGGGTGTCAGGATCCTTGGTGGGGACATGGAGGGAAATAAGAAGACTTCTTCCTTTTATCTTGATGATTTATTCTGACCGTCTTACAGCACTAAAGTGCCGAAACATGTAGTGCAAGAGAGAAGAGTAAGGTGAATAAATATATGCACTGTAAGACGGTCAGAATAAATCATGGACATAAATCAGTGCAACAGGGCGCTAAAATATAACATTCTTCCTTTTATATCACTGAGGAGTGTCCACTATGATGAGCCTAATATTAGGTAGTTTCTGTTGGTGATAATTTTAGGTTCAGAGCAGGAAAAGGTTTGAACAGCTGCCAGAAGAGAAATTATTCTTATGTTTATTTGTGTTCATGATTCTGTTCACATAACAAGAAATTTAGGTGATCCAGCATACTCTTCAGATGGTACTTTTGAGTAATATATTGAGACAGTAGTTAAGATAATACCACTGATTAAATTTTAACTGTTTTACAAAGTCTGATTAACATAAATGCTACTGATTAAATTATAACCATTTTAGTAAGTTGTACGTGATTAAATTCAAATACCAGTGAATGACACATTTGTGCATGTATTTTAAATGATATTACTTATTTTAATCTTAATTTTGGTCAAATCATTTTTTAATTTATTTTATGACATAGTTCATGGAGTTTCTGTTGGTGATAATTTTAGGTTCAGAGCAGGAAAAGGTTTGAACAGCTGCCAGAAGAGAAATTATTCTTATGTTTATTTGTGTTCATGATTCTGTTCACATAACAAGAAATTTAGGTAATCTCTTCAGATGGTTCTTTTGAGTAATATATTGAGACAGTAGTTAAGGTAATGCCACTGATTAAATTTTAACTGTTTTACGAAGTCTGGTTAACATAAATGCTACTGATTAAATTGTAACCATTTTAGTAAGTTGTATGTGATTAAATTCAAATACCAGTGAACAACACATTTGTGCATGTATTTTAAATGATATTACTTATATTATATTTAAGCATCCTGTTATATTCCACACTTCTATATGTATAATATAAACTCCGTCATAAATGCAACATTTTATTGTAGTTCTTGTCCCCCTTCTTTCACACTACATGTTTCGGCCGTGACCGGCCATCATCAGGTGTATTTCACTTCACGTAGCTGTCACACTGCACTCAATATTAACATTTAAACTCCAGATTTCTAATTGTTCATTGCTCTGTCATCAATCGGCACCCAATATTCCAGAACTCCCCTTGTCAATTTTGTCAATTATGTTATATTTTAGCGTCCTGTTGCACTGATTTAAGTCCATAATTTATTTTATCCGTCTTCTAGTGCATACATTCATCTATCCCCTCTTCTCACTCTCACTACATGTTTCGGCACAAATGTGCCATCTTCAGGTGCTGATCCAATCCACGACAAACTAGTTCATTGCATGCCTTGTCTATACATACTAAAATAACTAAAATATATATTTATCATATATACTGATAAATGTTAAGTGTTAAAATATTAAAATTATACAGCATATTTCATTCTTAC